TAAAGTCCGTGCTCAAGTATTAAAGTCCACACTGAAGTATTAAAGTCTGTCCTAAAGTCTGTGCTGAAGTATTAAAGTCTACGCTGCAGTATTAATTAAAGTCTGCGTTAAAGTCCGTGCTAGAGTCCTAAAGTCTGTCCTGAAGTAATAAAGTCAGTGCTAAGGTATTAAAGTCCGTCCTAAGGTATAAAAATCTGTGCCAAGGTCCGTGCTCAAAAAGTCTGCGCTGCAGTATTAATTAAAGTCTGCGTTAAAGTCCGTGCTAGAGTCCTAAAGTCTGTCCTGAAGTAATAAAGTCAGTGCTAAGGTATTAAAGTCCGTCCTAAGGTATAAAAATCTGTGCCAAGGTCCGTGCTCAAGTACTAAAGTCCGTGCTCAAGTATGAAAGTCCGTGCTCAAGTATGAAAGTCCGTGCTCAAGTCTGTCCTAAGCCAACGCTAACGTATTAAAGTCCATGTAAAGTCCGTGCTCAAGTCTGTCCTAAGCCAAGGCTAACGTATTAAAGTCCATGTAAAGTCTGTGCTAAAGTCTGTGCTAAGTATTAATTAAATTCTGTGCTGAGGTATTAAAGTCCACGCTACAGTATTAATTAAAGTCTGCGCTAAAGTCCGTGCTAAGATATTAAAATCCATGCTAAAGTATTAAAATCCATGCTAAACCCTGTGCTAAAATATTAAAGTCCGTGCTGAAGTATTAAAGTCTGTGCTAAATTATTAAAGTCGGTGCTAAGGTATTAAAGTCCACGCTACAGTATTAATTAAAGTCTGGGCTAAAGTCCATGCTAAATTATTAAAGTCTGTTCTAAAGTATTAAAGTCAGAAATATTAAAGTCCGTGCTGAAGTATTAAATCCACACTACAGTATTAATTAAAGTCTGCGCTAAAATCCGTGCTAAGATATTAAAATCCATGCTGAAGTATCAAAGTGTGTACTAAAGTCGGTGCTAGGGTATTAAAATCCGTACTAAAGTATTAAATTCCATGCTAAACCCTGTGCTGAAGTATTAAAGTCGGTGCTAAAGTATTAAAGTCCACGCTACAGTATTAATTAAAGTCTGGGCTAAAGTCCATGCTAAATTATTAAAGTCTGTTCTAAAGTATTAAAGTCAGAAATATTAAAGTCCGTGCTGAAGTATTAAAGTCCACGCTACAGTATTAATTAAACTCTGTGCTGAAGTCCATGCTAAGGTATTAAAATCCGTGCTAAAGTATTAAATTCCGTGCTAAACTCTGTCCTAAAATAATAAAGTCCGTGCTAAAGTATTAAAGTCCGTGCTAAAGTATTAAAGTCCGTGCTGAAGTATTAAAGTCCACGCTACAGTATTAATTAAAGGATTAAAATGTGCTAAAGGATTAAAATGCATGCTAAAGTCCATATGAATAAATTATTTGTTATTAATTTATTATTACTAATAGGATGGAAACTTCTCCACAAGAAAAATACTTCTTTGGTCGTTCTCCTTGATTATAATTATAAAACCAGCCAACCTTTGGTTCTTCTTCTTAATTATAATAACCAAATTAACCAACCTTTGGTTCTTCCCCTTGATTATAATTATAAAACCAACCAACCTTTGGTGCTTCTCCTTAATTATAATTACCAAACCAACCAATCTTTGGTGTTTCTCCTTAATTATAATTATAAAACGAGCCAATCTTTGCTGTTTCTCCCTAATTACAATTACCAAACCAACCCATCTTTAGCGCCAACCAATCTTTGGTGGTTTTCCTTAATTATAATTATAAAACTAACCAATCTTTGGTTCTTCTTCTTAATTAAAATTATAAAACCAACCAATCTTTGGTTCTTCTTCTTAATTATAATAACAAAATGAACCAACCTTTGGTTCTTCTCCTTAATTAAAATTATAAAACCAATCAAACTTTGGTTCTTCTTCTTAATTATAATTACCAAACGAACCAACCTTTGGTTCTTCTCCTTAATTAAAATTACCAAACCAACCAATCTTTGGTGGTTTTCCTTAATTAAAATTACCAAACCAACCAATCTTTGGTGCTTCTCCCTAATTGCAATTACCCAACCAACCCATCTTTAGCGCCGACCAATCTTTGGTGGTTTTCCTTAATTATAATTATAAAACGAGCCAATTTTTGGTGCTTCTCCCTAATTACAGTTACCAAACCAACTAATCTTTGGGTTCTCCCTAATTACAATTACCAAACCAACCCATCTTTAGTGCCAACCAAACTTTGGTGGTTTTCCTTAATTATAATTATAAAACTAGCCAGTCTTTGGTTCTTCTTCTTAATTATAATTACCAAACAAACCAACCTTTGATTCTTCTCCCTAATTATAATTACAAAATGAGCCAATCTTTGGTGCTTCTTCTTAATTATAATTACCAAACCAACCAACCTTTGGTTCTTCTCCTTGATTATAATTGTAAAACGGGCCAATCTTCGCTGTTTCTCCTTAATTATAATTACCAAACCAACCAACCTTTGGTTCTTCTCCTTGATTATAATTGTAAAACGGGCCAATCTTCGCTGTTTCTCCTTAATTATAATTACCAAACCAACCAACCTTTGGTTCTTCTCCTTGATTATAATTGTAAAACGGGCCAATCTTCGCTGTTTCTCCTTAATTATAATTACCAAACCAACCAACCTTTGGTTCTTCTCCTTGATTATAATTGTAAAACGGGCCAATCTTCGCTGTTTCTCCTTAATTATAATTACCAAACCAACCAACCTTTGGTTCTTCTCCTTGATTATAATTGTAAAACGGGCCAATCTTCGCTGTTTCTCCTTAATTATAATTACCAAACCAACCAACCTTTGGTTCTTCTCCTTGATTATAATTGTAAAACGGGCCAATCTTCGCTGTTTCTCCTTAATTAATTAAAGTCCACGCTACAGTATTAATTAAACTCTGTGCTGAAGTCCATGCTAAGGTATTAAAATCCGTGCTAAAGTATTAAATTCCGTGCTAAACTCTGTCCTAAAATAATAAAGTCCGTGCTAAAGTATTAAAGTCCGTGCTAAAGTATTAAAGTCCGTGCTGAAGTATTAAAGTCCACGCTACAGAATTAATTAAAGGATTAAAATGTGCTAAAGGATTAAAATGCATGCTAAAGTCCATATGAATAAATTATTTGTTATTAATTTATTATTACTAATAGGATGGAAACTTCTCCACAAGAAAAATACTTCTTTGGTGGTTCTCCTTGATTATAATTATAAAACCAGCCAACCTTTGGTTCTTCTTCTTAATTATAATAACCAAATTAACCAACCTTTGGTTCTTCCCCTTGATTATAATTATAAAACCAACCAACCTTTGGTGCTTCTCCTTAATTATAATTACCAAACCAACCAATCTTTGGTGTTTCTCCTTAATTATAATTATAAAACGAGCCAATCTTTGCTGTTTCTCCCTAATTACAATTACCAAACCAACCCATCTTTAGCGCCAACCAATCTTTGGTGGTTTTCCTTAATTATAATTATAAAACTAACCAATCTTTGGTTCTTCTTCTTAATTAAAATTATAAAACCAACCAATCTTTGGTTCTTCTTCTTAATTATAATAACAAAATGAACCAACCTTTGGTTCTTCTCCTTAATTAAAATTATAAAACCAACCAATCTTTGGTTCTTCTTCTTAATTATAATAACCAAATTAACCAACCTTTGGTTCTTCCCCTTGATTATAATTATAAAACCAACCAACCTTTGGTGCTTCTCCTTAATTATAATTACCAAACCAACCAATCTTTGGTGTTTCTCCTTAATTATAATTATAAAACGAGCCAATCTTTGCTGTTTCTCCCTAATTACAATTACCAAACCAACCCATCTTTAGCGCCAACCAATCTTTGGTGGTTTTCCTTAATTATAATTATAAAACTAACCAATCTTTGGTTCTTCTTCTTAATTAAAATTATAAAACCAACCAATCTTTGGTTCTTCTTCTTAATTATAATAACAAAATGAACCAACCTTTGGTTCTTCTCCTTAATTAAAATTATAAAACCAATCAAACTTTGGTTCTTCTTCTTAATTATAATTACCAAACGAACCAACCTTTGGTTCTTCTCCTTAATTAAAATTACCAAACCAACCAATCTTTGGTGTTTCTCCTTAATTATAATTATAAAACGAGCCAATCTTTGCTGTTTCTCCCTAATTACAATTACCAAACCAACCCATCTTTAGCGCCAACCAATCTTTGGTGGTTTTCCTTAATTATAATTATAAAACTAACCAATCTTTGGTTCTTCTTCTTAATTAAAATTATAAAACCAACCAATCTTTGGTTCTTCTTCTTAATTATAATAACAAAATGAACCAACCTTTGGTTCTTCTCCTTAATTAAAATTATAAAACCAATCAAACTTTGGTTCTTCTTCTTAATTATAATTACCAAACGAACCAACCTTTGGTTCTTCTCCTTAATTAAAATTACCAAACCAACCAATCTTTGGTGGTTTTCCTTAATTAAAATTACCAAACCAACCAATCTTTGGTGCTTCTCCCTAATTGCAATTACCCAACCAACCCATCTTTAGCGCCGACCAATCTTTGGTGGTTTTCCTTAATTATAATTATAAAACGAGCCAATTTTTGGTGCTTCTCCCTAATTACAGTTACCAAACCAACTAATCTTTGGGTTCTCCCTAATTACAATTACCAAACCACCCATCTTTAGTGCCAACCAAACTTTGTTGGTTTTCCTTAATTATAATTATAAAACTAGCCAGTCTTTGGTTCTTCTTCTTAATTATAATTACCAAACAAACCAACCTTTGATTCTTCTCCCTAATTATAATTACAAAATGAGCCAATCTTTGGTGCTTCTTCTTAATTATAATTACCAAACCAACCAACCTTTGGTTCTTCTCCTTGATTATAATTGTAAAACGGGCCAATCTTCGCTGTTTCTCCTTAATTATAATTACCCAACCAACCAACCTTTGGTGGTTCTCCTTAATTATGATTATAAACCGAGCCAATCTTCGCTGTTTCTCCCTAATCGCCATGACCAACCCAATCACCTCCCCGCCCCTGCAGGTGATCCGCACCGACACCTTCAAGCACCTGCGCCACCTGGAGATCCTCCAGCTCAGCCGCAACCTGGTGCGCAAGGTGGAGGTGGGCGCCTTCAACGGGCTGCCCAACCTCAACACGCTGGAGCTCTTCGACAACCGCCTGACCACGGTGCCCACGCAGGCCTTCGAGTACCTGTCCAAGCTGCGCGAGCTCTGGCTGAGGAACAACCCCATCGAGAGCATCCCCAGCTACGCCTTCAACCGCGTGCCCTCGCTGCGCCGCCTCGACCTGGGCGAGCTCAAGCGCCTGGAGTACATCTCCGAGGCCGCCTTCGAGGGTTTGGTGAACCTGCGCTACCTCAACCTGGGCATGTGCAACCTCAAGGAGATCCCCAACCTGACGGCGCTGGTGAGGCTGGAGGAGCTGGAGCTGTCCGGGAACCGCCTGGGCCGGGTGCGGCCGGGCTCCTTCCAGGGTTTGGGCAGCTTGAGGAAGCTGTGGCTGATGCACGCGCGGGTGGCGGCGGTGGAGCGCAACGCCTTCGACGACCTGAAGGCGCTGGAGGAGTTGAACCTGGCTCACAACGACCTGGCCTCGCTGCCCCACGACCTCTTCGCGCCGCTGCACCGGCTGGAGCGCGTGCACCTGCACCACAACCCCTGGCGCTGCGACTGCGACGTGCTGTGGCTCAGCTGGTGGCTGCGCGAGACCGTGCCCAGCAACACCAGCTGCTGCGCCCGCTGCCACGCGCCGCCGGCGCTGCGCGGCCGCTACCTGGGCGAGCTGGAGCCCGGCCACTTCACCTGCTACGCGCCGGTCATCGTGGAGCCGCCGGCAGACCTGAACGTCACCGAGGGCATGGCGGCCGAGCTCAAGTGCCGCACGGGCACGGCCATGACGTCGGTCAACTGGTTGACGCCCAACGGGACGCTGATGACGCACGGCTCGTACCGCGTGCGCATCTCGGTGCTGCACGACGGCACGCTCAACTTCACCAACGTCACCGTGCAGGACACCGGCCAGTACACCTGCATGGTCACCAACGCCGCCGGCAACACCACGGCCACCGCCACGCTCAACGTCTCGGCCGCCGACGCCGCCGCGGCCGCCGCCGCCGCCGCCGCGGCCACCGGCTACACCTACTTCACCACGGTCACCGTGGAGACCACCGAGGGCGCCGGCGGCGACGACCAAGCCCCTCAAACGCCCGCCGCGCCCACGGCGGCCGGTTGGGAGCCGGCCGGCGCCTCCACGGCCGCCCCGGCCACGCGCGCCACCGGCAAACCCTTCACCGTGCCCATCACGGCGGCGGCGGCCGCCGCGGCGGGCCGGGGAGGGCT